CCCCAAAACCCCAAAACCCCAAAACCCCAAGAGATTTTATCTAAGCAATTTAGTGTTAATTTCATTCAAATATAATTAGGAATTTACTTAGTTATTTTAACATTGTAATGCTATCTAATCTTTTTAGCTTTATTATACGGCTTAATAATTAGTATATTAATTAATTCCTAATGGAATCAATGTCATTTAAGGACCCTATGATGCTCGCTGAATAAAGCTCTGGGTATCTAAAGAGCATATTCAGAGGAACCAAGATTTATGATTATGATACCAGAATTGATTAGTACAATTGGTATGCTTTGTACATTATTCAGGTAGCATTCTATTTCACTCTCTAGGCTCTCGTAAGAAAGTTTGCTCCTCCCCCAGGAGACATTAAGGTATTTAAGGAAAAAAAGAAGATGAACGACTATCATTTTTATTATTTCTAATATCCAACTTTCGTTCATGCAATTATCGGATGCATTGCAGGTAATTTTATCAAATTTAACTTCTCTAGATCCATTAATTTTGTACTATGGAGGTTATAGATATGATCAGCCTAACCATTTATATCATTAGATACTAATGGTTCATTCCTTCGCATATTTCACATTCGACTCAATCATTGAAATTTATTACGGGACAGATGATGCCTTAACAAATGCTCATCATTTAGTTGTATTGATCGCCTCATTCACGCATGTCAAAAATAGTTTTGGTGGGTTTGAGTATATTGGTAATATACTTTTAATACCTTATAACCTTAATCTATATAGTATTACACTTAATAACAGAGATTTCAAACCCTTTTTTAATCATAAGGACTGTTTTAAAAATTTGTGGAATGAAAGAAACTATGATTTATGCTGTAAACGATATGATCTTTGCAACCATATTCTTATTTTTCAGAATGATTGTAACCCCATGTGCACTAATCTACATGTTTGAGGGACATAACATTCTTGCGGCTGATAAAGTTGGAACTGCTGCAATTCTTTTCATTCAGCTATTTTGGTGCTACAGAATTCTTTATCTAATTATGGAAAAAATTAGAGAGAATTATAAAGACAAAACAGGAGCATTTAATGAACCTTTAGTTATTAGAATATTGTTCAACATCTTCAAAAAGCTCATATCAGATAAAAAGGTTAAAATATATGTTAGCATCACATAGTTCATATTGATCTTCCTTATTCCATACTACTTCTACAAAGGTACTATCTTTAACAACTATTGAAAATCCTATATTTGATATTGGAATAATGATAATTTATGTTTTAATGAACTTTATTATATATTATTCATAAAAATTAGATAGAAATACATGGGGTTTTGGGGTTTTGGGGTTTTGGGG